GTCCTCTCTAGATTTATTAACCATGTCTTGCACCATGAGCAAAATCTTTGCTGTTATCTGAGTAATTATTTCTGATTTCATTTTTCCCAGATCCTATTTTGTTGCCAGGTCAGAGAGTCTAGGTGGTTGAGTATCAGATTGTTCCATCTCATTTCCCTGTGGGGTTGCTGTAGGTGATCCAGAAGTCTGTTTTTGATGCTTGTTTACATGTCTTCTCATTTCCACGGCGGGCGGGCGGGGGGAGGTTCTTCTGGTGCCTGCGCAGCTCACCTTCTCTGCCTTAGGAGCTTGAGATGGTGGTGGGAGAGCTTCCTTCCGGATGCTGGGACTGGCTCAGCTTCTCTGCCCTAGGAGCTTGGCGGGGGAGCTTCCTTCCGGGTGCCTCTGTTTGGCTTTTTAAGAAACTGCCAAACTGTTTTCCAAAGAGGCTGTGCTATTCCCACCATCAGTGTAGAAGTGTTTCTCCCTCTCCTGTTGGATTGAAAGAGTTCTTTATGTGTTCTAAGTATGAGTTATCTTTCCAAGATATGTGTTTACTAATAATTTCTCCTTGTTTATGGATTGCCTTTATACTTTCCTGATGGTGTCTTTTAATGAACAAAAGTTAAAAAAAAGTTTTTTCTTTTGGTACTGGGGATCGAACTTGGGACCTTGGGCTTGCAAGGCAGGCAGCGGAACCACTGAGCTAAATCCCCAGCCCAAAAGTTTTGAATTTTGATGAAATTAGTTTCCTTTTTTTCTTTTATGGTTTGTGCTTTTTGTGTTCTATCAACGTTTTTTCTCCTATATATTTTTCTAGAAATATAGTTTGTTACATTTATGTCTAGGAACTATTTTTGTTTGGTTGGTTTTTTGTTGTGTTTTTGTTTTTTGAGACAGGGTCTCACTACATAGTTTAGGAGCTGGCATAAGTTCCAATATTTTAAAATTTGCACTTATATGGCTTTTAGCATATTTACTATGTTCTATACTATCATCTAGAACATTTTCATCATCCCCCAAAGAAACCTCATTCCTGTTAGCAATTAGTCCAATTTCCTGCTCTTCTCATCTGCTGCAACCACTAATTTACTTTCTATCTTCATGGATTTGACTATTCTGGATAGATCACAGAAATGAAGATGTACAGTGTGTGCCCTTTTTAGTCTGGTTCTTTCACTAGTGTAATGATTTCAATGTCACCCATTCTTGAAATAGTAGCATGTCACAGTGTTTTGTTCCTTCCTGTGGCTGTCATACTGCCTTGTTTGAATACACCACAGTTGGTTATCCATTCCTCAGCTGTGGTCATTTGAGTTGTTTCTAGCTTGAGCACATTATGAATAATGCTGCTGTGAACATTTTGTGTGTAAATTTCGTGTGAACATATGTTTTTGATTTTCTTGGGTATGTCCTTAGGAGTGGAAGTGCTGGGTCATATAGTAGCTCTATGTTTAAATTTTTGCGGAATTGTTTTTCACAGTGGCTTCACCGTTTTACATTCCCACTAAGGATATGTATGAGGGTTCTGATCATGTCACATCCTGGCCAACACTTGTATTTTCTGTCTTTTTTATTTTAGCCATCCTACTAGGTATGAAGTAGTATCTCACTGTGATTTTGATTAGCATTTCTCTAATGGCTAACATTTAACACCTTTTCCTGTTATTGGATATTTATGTTTCTTCTTTGGAGAAATCTCTACTTAAATCCTTGGCCAACTTTTTTGTTTATTTGCTTTTGTTTTTTTGGTACCAGGGATTGAACCCTGGTCCTTGCACTTGCGCAGCTTGTGGCAAAACCACTGAGCTAAATCCCAGGCCCTTGTTTTGGGTTTTTTGGTCTTGCTATGTATTTCAGGCTGGTCTTGAACTCACTATGTAGCCCAGGCTGGCCTTGACCTTGTAGTGATCCTCCTGTCTCAGCCTCCCAAGTACTGGGACCACAGGTGTGTGCTGCCATGGCCAGCTCTGGCCAACTGGTTGATGTTTATTTGTTTGTTTTGTTTTATTGTTAACTTATATGAGTTACTTACATAGTTAGCATACAAGACCATCATTAGTATATAATTTGCAAATATTTTCTTTCAGTCTGTGAATTGTATAGTGGTACTTCAGTTTACAAACTTAATTTATTTTGTAATTTGGGGGAAGATGGTTGTGTTTGTGTTTGTGTGGCTGTGTTTGTGTGAGGAAGATGGCTATGGTTGTATTTGTCCCCTGCTGTGGAGTTTGTGAGTAGAAGCAAAATTTTGCCCAATGTTTTTGTTTGCAAACTGAATTACAAACAGAAGCATTAATGAACTGAGGTCTTACTGTATTTTCACTTCCTGGATTATTTCCTTTGATGTACCAATATTTTTAATTTTGATGATGTTCAGTTTATCTATTTGTCTTTGGTTGCTTGTACTTTTTGTTTTCTGACCATTCTGGTACATTAGGTGTTTTTGTTTTGGTACTGGGGATTGAACTCGGGTCCTCGCACTTGCGCAGCAGGCGGTGAAACCACTGAGCTAAATCCCTGGCCCTGGTACATTAGTTTTTTAATTTAAACTTTGGAATCAGTTTATCTTATTTTAAAACTTTATTGGTATTTTAAAAGATAGATTAATTCATTTAGGGAATTCTTTTTCTTTTGGTACTGGGGATCGAACTTAAGGCCTTTCACTTGCAAGGCAGGCACGGTGCCACTGAGCTAAATCACAGGCCCCATTTAGGGAATTCTTAAGAGGAAGCTTCCTATTGAAGAAAGATAAATCTTTCCATTTACCCAGGTCCTTTCTGTGTTTTTCAGCAGTGCTCTAAAATTTTTTCATATAGATCTCACTATTTTTAATTATGTTCAATTTTAGATTTTATTTGTATTATTGTAACTTACTTCAGTGCTGAAATGTTGACAACTCACAAAAGTGTTTGAAGCACTATGTGAGTTGTAGTATTTCATAGTACCCTGCAGTCTGCACTGAGGCCATGTTCAGGTCTCCAGACTCAGAGGTGCTCCAACTCTTTGCTGTTTAGGTAAGGACGCTGAAGTCTAGGGGTGCTGAGTGGCTTCCGCAAGGCCACACAGCAAGGAGATGGCGGGTGGAGGTGCCTGTCGCTACGCTTAGCCTGACCCTGAGTCCCGAGCTCTTCACCTTACCAACCTGCAGAAAACATTTGGGTCTAGGAAAGAGGCAAGTGCTCTCACATGCACTGGGAGCTCACATTTGCCTTGGGACTGACTTCACCAGTCAAGATAAGAATTAGACAAGAATTAGGAAAAAAATAAAGGGACATAAAGCAATGGTCCGAGGAGTGAAAAAGCAACATTCAGACAGTCAGATTGACGCGTACATTCACACCCCAAACCCTCAAACCTCCAGAGCTTCCTGCCCGTGAACCGAAAGGGGGAGTGTGAGTTTCTCGGGCCTGTTGGCAGGTGCTTTCTCAAAGGCCCATGGGTCTCCACTTCCTGAGGAGAAGACACAGCCAGCAGACTCCTGTGGCAGAGCACAGCCAACAGAGACTCCTTCGGAGCCCGCTTTCCTCTGCCGTCCGGGCCACAGTCGCCTGAGCCCCTGCCTGTTGGTGCTGTGCTGGGGAGGACAGGATGAAGGCGAAGACGCTGGTTATCTCCACCATCCTGCAGGCCCAACTCCCGCTCTCAGGTAAGGCCGATGGCTCGAAGGCAGAGGCCTTTTCAGCGCTCTCTGTGTGTGTTGTGGATAGGAGAGGGATAAGGAGGAGCCAGTGTCTCCTTCGAATCCTGTCCTCCCCAAATCAAGGGCTGCTGAACGGGCAGGTTCTGTGACAGACAAGCTGCGCATCACTTCGGAGCCAGCTGTTTACAAACACAGCTGCCTGAAGAGTAGATTTTCCAGTGATTAAAAAGGAGACAAAAGTTTATGGAGGGGAAGGATCAAGAGGCAGGGAGCAGAAGAGAAAGTGAGGCAGGCCAGCCTGGAGAAAGGGAGAGAAACCCAGCAGGATAAGAAAATGTCAGGAGGCGGTGACATTCTTCCAGTCACCCTGTCGGTCAGCTTCCTTCTCCCCCTTGCTGGCGTGACACTCTGGGCCCAAAAGAAATCTCATTGGTCAGCCTGACAGGGTCATGGCCTGTGGCCCTCGCTGATCTGAGGCACCTTGGCAGGCCAGGGACCAAGTGGGGTGAAGGGCCTAAGTCGGGAGCAGGTATAGGAAGTGTGGAGTTTGCGGCCTTCTGCAGGACACTCGCGATGTCCTGGCCCAGAGGGTCCTTGTCTGGGCTCAGGCACATGCATGGCTGCCCGATGACACACCCATCCTGGGCTCAGTGACTCACCACCACCACCCCTAACTAACAGAGGGACAGAGGAGAGGATGTGCCTTGCCAAGTCACCACAGTGAGAAACAGCCAGCCAGCAAGAGAACTTGCTGCTACTTCCAGTCCATGGCACCTGGCTTTTCTACATATTGTCACTGCCGTGTTTCCTGGCCCAGATGCTGGGGAGGAAAACAAGGGGAGACAAAACAGACCACTCATGGGATTGGGTTTGTGCTGTTTATAAAAGAAAAGGGGTGTATTTGGATCTAAAGAAATGGGGCAGGGGGAGGTTGTCACTACCAGCATCCTCCCTTCACTGCACAGCTCATCCCAGTGCAGAAGTTTTGTTTACTGACATGGCTGGGAGGGCAGGAGGGGCCTCTGGCACATGTGTTCCTGCCAGGGAGCATGGCACAGCCCTGGGCTAGCAAGACAGGGCCGGAGGGCCAAGTGACTGTGGGTTTTTCTGTAAGATGACAGCTCTCTTCTCAGAAAGACCCTGGTGCAGATGAGTCACATAGAATTGAGGAGGGCATAAAGCGACCCGTTCCTGTGTGCAGGGGACAAAGATCTTAACACCCAGGAACTCCATGACCTCAGGGAAGCAGCTGAGGGCTGCAGCTCTGGATTCTGGCTTCAGGCTGGGGGTCACAGGAAGAAGATGATCCCACCTTGTGGGACATCACTGGCCGACCCTCACTGGCCATTTGCGGTAGGCTTTGAGGTGGAGGCCAAGTGAATTAGAGAGAAAGATGATGGCTGCCAAGTGTGGTGAACAAAACCCCACCCAGAGGCTGAGGGGATGCTCATGCCCCATTTCCACACAGAGCTCTCAGGAGGACAACCTTAGCAGACTGGGTTGTTCACCAGAGCCTTTTGCTCTGGTTCTGTGGGAGTCTGAGACATAACTATTTTCAGATAGGGCAGATAGGGAAAAGTTGTTCAGAGTTTCCTGGCCCAGAAAGGAGCTGAGATGAGACAAGTGGAGGCCTTGAGGGGCCTGGGGCACTGAGGACCACGAAACACCAGGCAGCCCGGGCGAAGCCCTCTCCACTGTCCCCTGGACGAATGCTGCCCAAAGTAGTGTTGGGGCTCCCCTGTGTCCTGCTCAGTTAAGTGACTCCCCCTCTCCACACACTTTCCCACCAAAAACCTTGACCTTTTACTGGGCCTTTCTGTGTGCGTTCCTTTGGGGTCAGACAGTGAAGACCTAGTCTGTCCACAAGAATCTGCCATGATCCTCTCCACAGAGGCCTCGAGCCGGAAGAAACTAACATGGCGCGCAGGGTGGCAGGGTGCACAGTTGCTGCCGACCCTCAGCTTCTCTGTGCCTCTGACTCCATCCCCATTGTGGCCAAGAATGCACCCACAGCTCAGTGTGGCCTTTGTCCTTCCTTTGGTGAGGAACCTCAGGTCCTGAGCAGCCCGGCTTTTAGGAAATATCTGGATGTGGTGCAGGCCAGTCACCAGATCTGCCACCCCTGGGGGCCTCAGTCTTCTTACCTCTAAAGTTAGATTAGTAAAACCAGCTTCCATCCAAGACAGTGCGAGGAAGGCCGGTGACAGGGAGGTAAAAGGAATTTGCCAACAAAGGTTATAGGCAAGACAAGTGTTTATTTAGATCACTGTCAAGAGGGACAGTGAGCAAGTTTCCAAGAGAAGATCAGCACGCTCAGGGTGAGAGACTGGCGTTTTTATAAGGGAATAAAGGCATAGGAAAGTGTGTGTGTTGGCAAATGAAGCTATTCTAGAAATGCATCTTCTAGGGCATCCCGTTCCTTGGATTTTCAGGAACACCTGTATTGTAACTAAAGTTATAAACTGGTGAGGTCTTGCTCAGGCTTCACAAAAGGCCCTCAGACTTAGATAAGGACATCTGTGTGTTTGGGGAAGATATAACATTAGCCTAGGGGAGGAAAGGATTTTTTTTGTATTTACTTTTATCTTGTGCTGTGTTTAGTCCTCATTAGAGCCATGCCACATGACTGCCTAGTTCGTGCTGGGCAGAAGTGTATTGTCAGAGAAGTTTGGGTGCTGAGAGTTTTAACCCTCTTGTCAGCACAATACCTTCCTTGAAGAATGTGAAAATGAGAAGTGAATGCCATGTGTGTGTATGTATTAGACAGCCAATAAGTGGGAGTTGCATTGATTATTACTATCAGTACTTGTTGGACTGAATTCCTGAAAAACACTGGGCACAGGAATTGGAGACCCCGGGCTGGGGTCTCGTTTGCCCCCAGTTGTGTTGCGGAGCAGCAGGGTATTTTCTCCATCTGTGGACACGCAGCGCATCCTCTCCCGAGTCCCGGGCACACCTCTGCCAGCACAGAAACATAGCCACAAGCCCTGTGGTGGGCACAGTGGCCAAGGAGGGTCTCAGCTGGGATGGTCACAGGGATGAGCATTACAGCCACCATTTTAATTTTTTAAAGAGAGAGTGTAGGCAAATGTTTCTCCAAAGTGAAACAGGTCTGAAAAACAGAAATAGTGGATAAATAGTGAAGGGGGAGAAAATTAGAAACACGTTCACATGGTCATCACTAGCTGCGGGGGCTGCCCTGATCCCAAAGCCAAGTAGCTGGCTGGGGTGCAGGATCACTGGAGGTCCAAACACAAACATCTTCAACACCAAATCTTTACTGAAACTGCTAGGAGGTGGGCTTGGGGATGCTTCTGTAAGCGACCCAGGGCTTGGTCTCATGGCGTTGGCCCAACAGTTAGTTTTGACCTCCGACAGCCTGGCTCTTCCTTTCCAAAGGCATTGCCCAATTTTTCTGCCTTGTTCCCTCTCAGATTCAGGGCCCTAAAAACCATGTGTGCTGCCACTAAGCAGGTCTCAGAAACATCCCGGGATGCTCTGGCTTAGGTGTATAACCACTGCTGTATGTTTGAAAAATTTTTTTTTTTTGCTTTTGTTCTTTTGAAAATCAGATTTAATTTTTATTGGATATATGATTTTACTTTCAAAAGCCACCCTGCATTTAGAAGGGTCAGGCAGCAGTGGGAACCATGTTGGAGCGTGGTTGTTAGACATATGCTCTGGGAATCCTTTTTCTCCTGAGTGTATTTCCAGGTCAGCTATTTGATTAAATGAATGCCAAAAATACTTCAAAATAAGGTTCTTGATTCTGCTTGGCCCAAGTTAGGTCTTTTTTTTGGGGGGGTACCGGGGATTGAACTTGGGACCTTGCACTTGTGAGGCAGGCGCCGGAACCACTGAGCTAAATCCCCAGCCCGAGTTAGGTCTTATTAACACTGAAGTGAAGGTACATTTAAGCGATTTGAACAAACAGTCCATCTGGGTTTGTTTTTGTTTTTTTTTTTAAATTAAATCAAGCCAGGTGTAGTGGCACATGCCTATAATCCCGGCACTCTGAGGCTGAAGCAGGAAGACAAGTTCAAACCCAACCTGGGCAACTTAATGACTTAGAGAGGCCCTGTCTCAAAATAAAAAATAAACAAGGGCTGGGGCTGAAGCTCAACATGACACTCGAAGGCCCTGGGTTTAATCCCCAAACGCTGAAGAAAAAACTTAGACCAGGCATCTGACCTGTTAGTTGAAAGAAAACGATCATTTTAGTAACCCCATGCTCATAACCATGGTTTCCAGCCCCCCAAACAACTCTGAGGTCCTTGAGGAGACAGAGGCTCCGTTCTTGCTCTCGACTCAGCACACTTAGCACAGTGCCTAAACAGTTGACACACAATAAATATCAATGGTGTTTGTTGGATGAATTACAGTGTGGATGACTGAAGGCAATCTAGGTGTTTCTATGTGATTAAGTTAACCTTAATGGTTTATTTGAGGGTCTGTTGGGTTGGCATTATCAGGAACTTTCCTCTAGATTACTTAGTATACAACAAGGTACTTTGAAAACAATACTAAACAAAACACGGGAATTGAACTGGCAAAGTTGACAAGGGAGTTTGAGTAGAATGATTTGAAGTGAGTTACAAGGCCAGTTTAAAATAAAATCCAGCCATTACTAAAACTTTTCTTGTTTGACTGTATGAAATCTTGCTGTCTATTTTGGACCTATAAAAGATAATTTTAGATGAGTAAACTAACATATCTTAAAACTAAAGAAAGACGCTGTGATTTGGCTTTAACACTGCAGATAAGGAAAAACTAAACAAGGCTAGTGCCATTGGAGATTGTTGACTAATAGACTAGTGAAAGTACAAAGGACGGAAAGACCAGAGTACAGCATAAGTCAAATATCCAATCGCTCAACTGCCTCAAAAATAGACAAATAAAATATAAGTGATTAGCAACATATATAACCATTATAACCCAGTTTGATCTAGGTTATTTATTTATTTATTTATTGGTACTGGGGATTGAACTCAGGACCTTGCGTTTGT